AACGGCCATACGCCGGCTTTTCCCATCAAGTAATGTGCCGAGATTACTTAATGATAAAGCGTGTAACCAGTGACTAGATTCCTTAGTTGAAACAGCTAGAAGGCGTACCTTATATTGGTCACTATGGAAATTATGAAACAAATCTTTCTGCACGTTCTGTACCTACGGAATATCCCACTGTTTTTGTTGGTTAACTTCCAGTGGAAATTTTCGCCGGGACAAGGCGTTTACCATGTCTGCCCTGCCTCCGCAGCAAATCATAGGTTCTAGTTTACTATTTAAAATTATGTTACATAAATCACTAACACTATGCACGGAAGCAAAGAAAGCAGGCAATGCAACGCTAGAAATATTTCTCACACTAATACCACCAAATTTTATAGGTAAAGTAGCTTCAGTCCAGGCTGTTGTATTTAAAGTTAAATTTAGAGTTTTATCTATAGCTAATTTAAGATTATTATCAATATCTTTTAAAATATTAGAATATTTCCACACTGGATTCGAGCGGAGTATGTTAATCTAGGTACAAGGAGACAATATTTTGGGGTGCGAAGTCAGAAGTCCTCCACGTGTGCCTGGTAGTTGCGGGTCCCTCTCGATACGTCTGGAGGGAAGAGCAGATACTGGGCCGGTGCACCCTGGGCGCGGCAGTAGTCTTCCTCGAGAAATGAGAAGAAATTCTTACTCCTTGGGGAATGGTACTGCCGCGGCTAATTATTCTGACATGGGGGGGTCCGTCCCGGACCAACGGTGCGTTCCACTGCGTGACCCTCTGATCAGCAGAGGGCATAGCAGAGGAGTGAGGGCGGGCTCGGTGTGCACTAACCCTGCCTCCGGGCAGACAGTGAAGGATTCATCCTTTGCTGTCACCGCCGGTCTCGTAATCCCAGTATCGAAGTGTCGTGGATCACGTCTCGCGGCTTTGATAGGGACCGAGGGTCTTGGCTTAACCGCCCGGACCGCGAGGGAGAAAACCTCTATAAAAAGTTACCCCGAATCTCAAGCGGCGACGCACCGCGAGGGGATGGATGGCTGACGGGGTTCTATGAACAAATCAGTCGTTAGTGCGCTCCTCGCCAGGGAACCTGCAGACCCCATGGCGAGTAATAAATCCTCTAAATCTGCTTACTCTGGTCTCTGCCAAGGTGGACCTTTAATTCCCCCATAGTCGTGGGTACAAAAAATGGAAACCAAACAAAAAACACAAAAAACCAAAACCGCCGGCAACGGCAACGTAGAGGAGAGGAGGAACGATGCGGGGACAGAGTCCGACGCCGCATCGAGCAGCGAGGTAGGCTCAGAGAGCTCCCGACAAGTGGAGCCTGGGACCGCGGAGACCAGCAAGTTCTTCCGCAAGCGGTCCAGGCGGGATGGCGACCAGGGGAAATCCCCACCAACAGGCGGGGCGGGCTGAGAGGCAAGGGGAGGGAGCTCTCTACCAATCAGAGGGCCGAACGAGCGGCAAAGCTTGCCGAGGAGGGGCGCCACCCGGACGACACGGCTCGGGAATCAGGCGAAGAAACAGACGCGACTGGCGGCTCCGAGGTGGAGCGTAAGGCCAGATTCGTAAATGAGGTGGAGGCCGCGATCAAGGTCGTGGCCAACAAGCAAAAGTCCTCCTCGAAAGTCAAGGCCATTCCCGCGGCCTCCGCCTCCATCATGGCGGCTGCGGAGGCCAACTTTGCTGGGGCTGGGCCTAATGCGGACGAGGTGGCGAAGCTGCGGGCGGAAGTGGCCCGCCTGACGTTCGCCATGGAGACTCTCCAGAAGGAGAATGAGAAGCTCCGCGCAGACCTGGCCAGTCTACATGAGCCTGCCTCTCGCGCGGCGCCCCAGACGCAGCGCCCAAGCCAGCCCGTGCCGGTGGAGAACCAGGTTCTGAACCTGGTCCGGCAGGAGCTGGCTGCCTTCCAGCACCGGTTCTCCGTGCTGGAGGGGATCGTCCTGCGCCCCCCCCTAGGGGCAAACAAGGCGGCGGCGAGACCGGCAACGGCTTCTTACGCGACGGTCACGGCTGCCGCATCCAGGCCGGGGCCGTCCAGCCAGCCCTCGAGTGGGGCTGCAGTTGCCCCTCCCCCCCCTGAAAAGCCGGCTCCAGCAAAACCGATACCGGCTGAACCGGCTCCGGCTAAGCCGGCGACGGGAAAGAGAGGCAAGGCGAAGGCGAAAAAGGGCAAGGGGGCAGCACAGGTGATGGCTGCGCCAGCCCCAGTGCCTGCGGCGAATGGGCCAGCGCCAGCGGCAAGCCAGCTGCCGCCGCCGCCACCGCCCCCCCAGCTCCCTACACCTCCCGCGGCAGAAGTCGGTTGGCAGGTGGTCGGGGACAAACAGAAGGGGAAGAAGGCAGCCAAAAAGGCCAAAGAGCAGGAGCGGCAGCGCCAGTTCAGGGCGCGCAAGATCACGGCTAGACTCCGCGCCCCGAAGACCGCAGCTGTAGTGATTACACTACAGCCGGACGCGGAAAAGAAGGGCGTTACCTACCGCGATCTGCCCGCGAAGGCGAAAGAGGCGGTGGATCTCGGAGAGCTCGGGGGCCTCCGGCTCAAAGTCACCAAGACGGGGGCCCGTATGCTGGAGATCCCCGGGGAATCCAGTGGCGCGACTGCGGACGCTCTGGCTGCGAAGCTCAGAGCGTCCCTGAACGCGGACGAGGCCCGAGTGTCCAGGCCCGTCAGATGCGCAGACCTGCGCATCATGGGTCTGGACGACTCTGTATCGGAGGAGGAGTTGGTGGCCGCCGTCGCCAGGTCCGGGGGGTGCACTACTGACCAGGTCAGGTCAGGCGCCATACGCCGGGATCAACAGGGGTATGCATGCTGCCACGGTGTGCTGCCCTGTTACGGCGGCCAAAACCATAGTGGAGGGCCGAAGGCTTCTGGTGGGCTGGGTCTCAGCGCAGGTTAAGCTGCTGGAGCCCAGACCTCTGAGGTGCTACCGCTGTCTCGTGGGGCATCACGTATCAGTGAAATGCGCCTCGGAGGTTGACCGCAGTGGCCTCTGCTTCCGCTGCTGTCAGCCCGGACACATAACGGCGACCTGCTGCGCCACGCCGCACTGTGATGCATGTGCGGCGACCGGTAAGCCAGCCGATCACTGGGCCGGAAGCAGGGCTGCGTGTCACCCGCCAAGGCCAAGGCCGCGGGTAGGGGAGGGCCCTCCTCCGCCGCCACCGCCTCTATGGCCACCGCCGCAGCAGCAACTACCGCCGCCGCCGCTGTCACTGTCGACGCCGCCGCCGCCGCGACACCGACGCCTGCAGAGGGGCACCCCGTGGAGGAAGCTGAAATGGAATGCCTATAACGGCCCCATTAAGCTTCCTCCAGGCGAATATCAACCACTGCGCCTGCGCTCAAGATCTGTTGCTCCAGAGCATGGCGCAGTGGTCGATTAACATCGCTGTGGTCGCTGAGCCGTATTTTGTCTGGCCTAGGAAGGACTGGGTGGCGGACCTTAATGGCTCAGTGGCCATCATTTCGTCGGCCGCCGCCGGTACCCCGACCCTTGAAGGTGTCAGGAGGGGTCAGGGGTGCGTAGCAGCACGGTTCGGGGAGTTCGTCGTTGTGGGGGTGTACTTCTCCCCGAACCGATCTCTCGCCGAGGTCCACAACTCTCTTGCAGAGCTGAGAGCAGTCGTCGTCGGAAGCTATCCCCTCCCCGTGCTTGTCCTCAGGGACTTCAATGCCAAGAACTTGGCTTGGAGTTCTCGTCGTACAGATGTGCGGGGTAGGATGGTGGAAGACAGGGCTCTGGAGACAGGCCTGGGGTCGTCCTAAATCGGGGTTCTGTCCCCACGTGTGTGCGGATGCGGGGCGAGTCGGTGGTGGACATTTCGTTCGCTTGCCCCGCTCTGTCGCCGCGTGCCATTGACTGGCGAGTCATGAAGGGGGTGGAGACCTACTCCGACCACCGGTACATCCGGTTTGACGTCTCCACCCAGCCCACGAGCGCGCCAGTCCAACAGGCCCCGAGTGGTCCGCGTTGGGCGCTGAAGCAGCTGGACCGGGAGCTCCTCCTGGAAGCCTCGATCGTGCAGGCCTGGGTGTCATCACCGGATAGGCCTGCCGACGTCAATGATGAGGCAGGGTGGTTCCAGGAGGCCATGTCCGAGATATGTGATGTGGCAATGCACCGCGTCCGGCCAGGAAGCGCCCGGCACCAGGTGTATTGGTGGTCGCGTGAGCTGACGTCTCTGCGCGAGGCGTGTGTCGCCGCGCGGCACCTGTACGCCAGGCATCACAGGCTCCGCATTCGTCCACCGAATGCGGCAGCCATTGTGGCGGAGCTGTACGAGGGATACAGAGCGGCGAAGACCGCCCTCCGGGAGGCTGTCATGCGGGCCCGGCATCGGGCCCGTGAGGAGATGCTGGAGACTCTCGACAGAGATCCGTGGGGGCGCCCTTACAAGATGGTGCGGGATAAACTCCGCACCTGGGCCCCCCCGCTGACGCAGAGTCTCCGGCCTCAGCTCGTGGAGGACGTGGTGAGCGCTCTGTTTCCTGCGCGAGGGGAACATCCGCCCCCGCCTATGGCTCCGCCACCTGCGGTGCCGGAAGCGGACCACCAGGACGACGACGACGGCATCCCGGAAGGGACCGGGGTAGACCTGAGAGTGGCGGTACGTAGGCTCAAGGCCAGGAATACCGCCCCAGGACCCGATGGCTTGCCTGGCAAAGCCTGGGTCCTGGCCTCGGAGGCTCTCGGGCCCCGACTGGAGGGGCTCCTAAGCGCATGCTTGGAGAGAGGCCAATTCCCGCTTCGTTGGAAGACGGGGAAGCTGGTCCTCATTCGGAAGCCGGGGCGCCCTGCGGACTCTCCGTCCGCATACCGGCCCGTGGTGCTGCTCGACGAGGTGGGCAAGCTCTTTGAAAGAGTCATTGCAAACCGCCTCGCCGAGCACCTTGCGGGGACGGGGCCGGATCTTGCGGAACACCAGTTTGGTTTCCGCAAGAGGCGCTCTACGGTGGACGCCATCATGCGCGTGAGAGCCCTCACGACGGGGGATGCAGTGGCCAGGGGGGGGGGTTGTTTTGGCGGTGTCTCTCGACATCGCCAACGCCTTCAACTCCAAGCCCTGGAGCTGCATTAGGGAGGCACTCCGGTATCACCGGGTGCCGACCTATCTCCGTCGTATAGTCGGGGACTATCTGACGGATAGGGCCGTCATCTACCCCGGTCGCAACGGTGAGTGGAACCGGCGAGAGATGTCGTGCGTTGTCCCACAAGGTTCAGTTCTAGGGCCGCCCCTGTGGAACATCGGTTACAACTGGGTGCTGCGCGCCGACCTCCCTACCGGCGTCAACGTAGTTTGCTACGCTGACGACACGCTGGTACTGGCACAGGGGGGGTCATACGAGGCGGCAGCGGAAAATATGACACGCGGGGTTGCGATAGTCGTTGAGAGGATCCGGCAGCTGGGCCTTGAGGTGGCTCTGCACAAGTCCGAGGCCATGCACTTCCATGGTCCTCGGAACAGACCACCACCGGGATCCTCAGCGATGGTAGGAGGGGTATCCATCGGCGTCGAGTCGACGTTGAAGTACCTAGGACTCGTCCTCGACGGCCGATGGAACTTCCTTGAGCACTTCCGACGTTTGGCTCCCAAACTGGAACGGACCGGGGCTGCCTTCAGGCGGCTCCTGCCGAACCTGGGGGGGCCAAACGCCTCCTGCCGGAGGCTCTACGCGGGGATTGTGCGGTCCATGGCCCTTTACGGGGCCCCGGTGTGGGCGCGTGGTTTGGCGCGGCTTGCCGTCCACCAACTGAACGCGCCCCAAAAGGTGGTTGCCGTAAGAATGGCTCGCGGCTACCGCACGATCTCCCGCGAGGCAGCGTGCCTCCTTGCCGGATTGCCGCCATGGGATCTGGAGGCGATAGTCCTCGTGCGTCTACACGAATGGCGCGCGGAGGCACTATGCCGGGGGGAAACCCCGCTGCCGCGGCAAGTTGTCGTGCAGCGGACAGACTTCCGGCATGATCTCATGGCGACATGGAGAGAGCGACTGTCGCAACCCCGTGCTGGGCACGCCACTATAGCGGCGATAAGACCCCTCTTTGAGGAGTGGCTTGAGAGACGCCACGGCGTCCTCACCTTCCGCCTGACGCAGGTCCTCACCGGACACGGTGTGTTCGGGAGGTTCCTGCACCGAATCGGGCGGGAGGAAACGCCCGGGTGCTCCCACTGCGAGGATCGACCGGAGGACACGGCGGAGCACACCGTGGAGGTGTGCCCTGCCTGGGCGGAGCACCGCCGTGTCCTCGTAGCGGCGATAGGCGGCGGCGACCTCTCGCGTCCGGCCCTGATCGAAGCCATGGTCCGGAGCGAGACGGAATGGGATGCCGTCACCACCTTCTGCGAAGCAGTGATGCTAGCGAAGGAGGTGGCGGAGCGGGAGAAGGAGAGAGCAGCAGCTTTCCTTCCCGGCCGCCGCGGGAGACGCCCCGGGCGTCGGGGGCTACGTCGTGGCCCCCGGTCACCGTAGGCGCGGGCCTGTGGACGGCGAGCAATGGGTAGCTCGCCGTCCGTCCGTCTAACGACGACAGGCCGTGTCGACGGCGCGTTTTGTTCCACGCGCGCCTCAAAGAGCTGTCAGCAGCGTGAAGGGGCCCGCAAGGGCTGACGCCTGCCGGGGCTGCGGGCTGTTCGAAAGAGATACCGCGGCTCCGGAACGTAAGGGCACTGAAGGAACACGGATGGTTTTTAGTCAGTAAAAGTCTGACACTCCCTTCCGCTCCACCCAGAGCGAAAGGCCATTTGATGATTTTCCATCCGCAAAAAAAAAAGGAGACAATATTTTAAAATAGTAAGGGCTATGCGGGGGTTAAATTTATACAATTTATCAATTTACAAAATTGGTTTAAAAATTTTATTTTTAAAACAGGTTTAATACTTTCGAAAAACAACGGAGCAACTAGTAGGTATAATGATTCTGTACTGACAGTTTTTATTCCTGGAGAAATATGATTGAAATTTTGAATTAAAGCGTCTTTGTGAGAAATACAACATGAGAAATGAATATAAATAATATAGTCTGTTTATTGAAAAAAAGTCAATGAAAACGGTTAATACGTTTCCTAGGAATCGGAGAATCGGAAACATATGCATTAAAAAAAAAAAAAACATCGCGTCTATTTTGAAATTAGTTAAAACTATTTAAAACGTAAAAATAAGATCTTATTCCTGAAAAAAATTCTAAAACCTCTACGGCTTTGTCCCGCTTTTTAATTGCAATTTTCACTGCAAATCCGTGCACTAAGCCTACTTATACTAATAGCACACTGTAATTTAAATTTATATATTTTATCGTTATTGTTCGTCGTTAGTTATATTCATTTCGATCTGATATTCAAACATAACAAATTATGTTATGTTCGAATATCGAAAGACAAGGTAACAATTCATAGGTATGAATTAAAAAAAAATATATGAGACAGACTAAAATAATATTTTCTTTATATAGTTTTTTAAACATTTTATCTTATTTTTGTTATTTTATTATATTTTATGTTAGTACTAAATTTGCGTTTTCACATAACATATTCGGGCATGCTAATAACATATTCGGGTGGGCATATTTGATTCAGCTATATTTGTTGAATAGCAAACCCAAACAAAAAAGCGCTATTACACATGTTCGACTTCCCATACGGGAAATGTATTTATGATTCTTAACCGAGCTGCATATCCATTCATGACCAAATACGGCATTTGGCGTAGTGTACCTGTCCAAAATATCTGAGAGTTAATTTAGTTTTAACAAAATAATGATGAATTGATGGTCTTATATGCGATATTTGATTCATATCATTGTTCCCATTTAATTATGATTGGCACCACAAAATTGATTCTGATATTTTTTCTACGTTCGAGTAGACTTCAAAATTTCATAAATGCAGTTCTGATAATGATGAATACTACACATGCAATAAAATAAATTTTAATAAATCACGTTACATTTTAACTTTTATTTAACCCTGCATGGGTCGCGCCCTAAAAACTGACGTAAGCGGTCGCGTGGAGTACAATTGTAATCCAAATAAAAAACTGCAAATTAAGAATCAAAATGTATTTATTTTACTTTGAATGTAATAAAACTAGAAATATGTACCATACGGAATGAAATAAAAAAAAAATATATCTTTTATTTTATTTATAACTTAACTTTTATTAATTTGTAAGCAAAAATGGCACATTGATTTCTTAATGAGATCACAAATCATCTTAAGTAATTATCGCTAATCTAATCATTGTTTTTTAAACAAGAGGAACATATGTATTTGAAATGATCCGGACAAACGAATTTATTACATGCTGTGCATGATCGACGAGTGCTATTATTGCGCGATATTCCGCAGTCATAGCAGCGACCCAGTCTCCTAGTTGACGATAATGCCGAGGTACTTGGCTGATTTTCAGCTTGGGGAACTTCCAGAAAATCTTTTATTTTGAACACCAGACTTTGTGGTAATGTCTTTTGTTCCAATCTTCTGTGAGTTGATGGTTTCATCCATGCCAATGCCATGGAAATAAGAAAATCACGTCCTACTACCTTTGCAAAATTTTTGTTGGCAGTGTATATGCATAAAGCATTCAAAGCACTCAAATTGAGTAAATCGAAAAAAACTGTTAGAGTCCATCGTCTTGAATTTCTAGATACGTCGTATAACGAGGACATTTTGTCTACCAAATCATAAAAGAAAAGTGAAAGAAAAAGAATGGTGTTTCCTTGTACGATTGTAGTACGTGATCATTTCGGTTTTTTTGAGATCTCCTGTACTGTTATCGATCGTCGCATCGTTATGCATTGTAGGTAGACATGACGATTACTACTTTATTGGACTTTGGTATATAAGATACCAACGTGCAGGGTGTGTGAAAACCAATTTTTGAGGAATAAACAGAATTTCCTCGTGCCACACGAAACACCTTAGGAACATCTCTTTTATCTTTTGTTACAGTGCCGACCATTGTAGTTTTGTTCTCGAAAAGTTGCTTTGCAACGTTTAGCGACAAAAACATGTTAACATTGCGGTTTTTCTCAAGGATAGGTTGAACTACTCGCATCACTACGTCGGCCCGTTCATTGCTCACATGAAAAGGTCCCACGGGCTGCTTGCCGGCGTAAATCTCTAAATTGTATGTGTATGGGTAGTGAACGTTGACATGGGCAAATATCTTATCCCATACTTTGAGGGTTTGCTAAGTATGTACTGCCTAAAAGGGCAACGTCCTCTAAAGGCCACAGGCTGCTCGTCCAATGTCATTTCTGCACTTGGAATGAAATGTTGTTGAAATTTGATGATTAACACCTCAAAAACTTCACGTATTGCAGCTAGTTTATCAATAATAACACGATCTTAACGATCATTAATATCATCAAATCGTAGATTTCTTAGAAGAAATTTAAAACGTTGGACAGACATCGTTAAATAAATGGCATCGATTCCAGTGTGATTCCTGTGTTCAAATATTTGTTCACAGCTGCTTCGGCCCAATTTCAATACACCTGCTAAATAAATGATACCGAGAAATGCCGTTACTTCAGTAGAATCCGTCAATTTGGCATCAGGGTCTCTGGCATATTTTGTTTAGTGTGCTCGATATTTATGTTAGTATATTTTACTATCAGATCAATTACAACGTCATCTAAGAAAAGAGATATACAATCCTCAGCAGCACCTTTCTCCCGGGCGATTCCTTTTGGTCCTGGAGGTACAAAAACTATGTTGTGACTGCGAGTTCTTCTTCTATTCGATGGCGCAGTCTTATTCCAGCGAGTATTATCCACACCAATGTAATACTCCTCGCAGCCAACTTGTGAGGAATCATCTTGTCCTAGTTCTGAAACGGTTACGGTAGGTACCTCATTTGGAGTTTCTTCTTCTTGCTCAGATTCAGATTGGTGGTCCTGCACTTCCAGAAAATCTTCTTCATCGTTTAAGCTTGCGTCATCTTCCAAATCATCACTGCTATAATCTTCGTCAAGCCAAGATTCGATTTGAGCGATACGCCTTTCTTCCATGATTGTTCTGTTGGGATAAATTACAAAAACACGTTATCACTATAAAAGCTGTACATAAATAAACATATAACCGTTATGTACTAAAGTTAATTATTGCAAAATCATCATCATTCTCTAAACCATTTCCCATTATCTGGGGTCGGCGCAGTAAATCTTTTTGTTCCATTCCTCTCTATCAGCCGTCATTTCCATACTTACTCCTTTCATTCTCATATCACTCTTCAGACAATCGATCCATCTTTTATTCGGCCTTCCTCTGCCCGTGTGTCCCTCCACATTCATATTCAACACTCGTTTTGTGACATGACTTTCATTCCTCCGCATCACATGCCCAAACCATGCCAATCTGCTTCCTCTCACCTTTTCTACCACTGGCGCTACTTTCAGGCTTCCTCTTATATACTCATTCCTTATCTTATCCATCCTTGTCACACCACACATCCATCGTAACATTCTCATTTCATTCGCATGCAGTCTATTTTCATCCTTCTTCTTGACGGCCCAGCATTCACTTCCATACATGACGACAGGTCGGATGATCGATTTGAAAATTTTCCCCTTCAGCCTTATTGGCATTCGGGGATCGCACGTTGTGGCTGTGACCTGTCGCCATTTCATCCACCCTGCGTTAATCCTATGCTGCACAGCTCTATCTATTCCGCCGTCGCCTTGAATGAAGGAACCGAGGTACTTGACATCTGAGCAGATAGGCAGTATAGCGCCATCCAACGACATGGGTACAGGACTGGAAAGACCGCCGAAATCACAGCACAGATATTCGGTTTTGGATCTGCTGATCTTCAAGCCAACACTTTCCAGCCTCCGTTGCCACCGCGTCAGTCTGCTCTGTACCTCGATGCCTTCTTCCCCGACAAGCACGATGTCATCGGCAAAGAGCATGCACCAGGGTGCCTCATCCTGCAGGTCCGACGTCAAAGCGTCCATAATCAGTAGGAAGAGGTAAGGGCTCAGTGCCGACCCTTGGTGCAGCCCTACCGCCACATCGATACTGCCCGTAGTTCCCGCGGCAGATCGTACACATGTACGGGATGCTCTGTTCATAGCACGGACCAACCTCACATACTTCCCAGGCATACCTTTCATCTTCAACGCCCACCACAAGACCTCACGGGGAACCCGATCGTACGCCTTTTCAAGGTCGACAAAAACCATGTGCAGATCTTTATGCACGTGCTTGTACTTTTCGCACAATTGGCGTAATGCGAAAATGGCATCTGTCGTACCTCGACCGGGCATGAATCCGAACTGGTTTTGTGTTATCTCACACTCTTCTCTCATTCTTCTCTCTATTATTCTTTCCCAGACTTTCATCGTATGTGACATGAGCTTTATTCCCCGGTAACTGCTGCAGTTTTCAACGTCTCCTTTGTTTTTAAAAATGGGAACCAGTATACTACTGTATCATTCGTCAGGTATTTGTTCTTCCTGCAACAATTTAC